TGAACCCCTACGGTGTGTAATGGATCATTCTCGCTTCCTAGCTAAATTAGCAAGTGTAATGGACATCATATTACAATTCATCATATGATTTTTAGCTGGTCAAGTTCAATTATGCCAAAATTACATGGTAAAATTGGGACACTTTGAAAAGTAACGGTACAAGGGAAATATTTCCACTTATCTACCTTAGGAACATGTTATGCAGATAAAATGAGATGATGTATAAAGAACCTAGTACAGGACCTGGAACCAGTGAAGATTCAAATGTAGTTGTTGCCATTATTATGTGTCGTTTTATTCATCTCACTCTACCTAACCTTGCCACAAACGGAGCTTGCTTCTGCATCCTGTCATGTCGCCCAATAGTTCTAGTATTCTAATCTGATCTAGTATATTCAGCCTATGTACCTGCATAGGAATCCACCAAAAACTAATCAACACCACCATTTGAACGATAGTTTACAGATATAAGGCATTTCCACCATCATTATTGAATTAATTCTTAGAGTAACACAGGAATCGTCTCTGTCTTAAGATAGAGAAGCCGAGGCTGAAAGACACAAGAGCCAGACTGTCTGACTCTAAAATATGTCACAGCTGCGTGGCCTCAGATGGCTCTCTAATTACCATTAAATCCATGTCAGGATATATTTTTAAATATGTTTTTATTGATTTCAGAGAGGAAGGGAGAGGAAAAGAGAGATAGAAACATCAATGATGAGAGAGAATCATTGATCGGCTGCCTCCTGCATGCCCAGACTTGGAATCCAACCGTGACCTCCCGGTTCATAGGTTGATGCTCAGCCGCTGAGCCATGCCGGCTGGGCTGTCAGGATATATTTTAGAATCGACTAAAGTAGTTAATGTAGATTTGGGGTTTAATCAAGTACTATTTGTGAACTCACGAGTAATTTCCATGGTTTATTTTATCTTTCCGGGTGAAACACTGCTTGAGATCTTAGCCAATGATTACATTTCTTTGTTTTATCGGGAGAATGACAGCTTAAGGGAAAACAACTCCCCTTGAGTGATCTGACTCAGCCCATAAGAACTGTCTTCTTGGCAGTCGTTGAAGATGGAACACTCACAGAATCCCTGTCCCCTCTGTCGTATCATCACCCCGCAAATGTGCCAAACTGGAGTCCTCCTCTCACACCTCATGCTGGGTCAGTGCCCTTTCGTGGTACAAGCTCCTTTAAGAAAAGAACCCAGCTCTGCTCTCCCTGTCGCTCTCTCATCCAAAGGAAACATCCAAAACCTGAGGGGTAGGAAAGTGAGACAAGAAAAAGGGAATATTTTCCAAGCTTTTTAAAGCATCAAATCATGATGCATATCATCTATGCCGATTCATACGTAATCAACCTACAAAGTTTTACTTAAAAGCCACGGGTTGGCCCGGCCAGCATGGCTCAGTGGTTGAGTGTCAACTTATGAGCCAGGAGGTCACCATTCGATTCCCTGTCAGGACACATGCCCAGGTTGTGGGCTCGATCCCCAGTGTGGGGCGTGCAGGAGGCAACCAATCAATGATTCTCTCATCATTGATGTTTCTATCTCCCTCTCCCTCTACCTCTCTGAAATCAATAAAAACATATTTAAATAAAAATGTAAAAAACCAAGGGCTGGGTTGGGGACCTTGGCCAATATGGGGCCCTGTGACTCAGAGAGGTCCTGTTCTCATGGCCAGAAAGAAAAGGGGAGGACGAAGTTCAGACTTGGGATCTGTTATTAAAAGTAATTTTAAAAGACAGGCCACTTGACTGGCGGGGTGAGGCCGACAGGCTGCATGAGATCGGATGTGGCAAAGCCATGCAGCCGGGCTGCTCTGGGAGGAAGTGGGGCACAGCGGCTCTGAGCCCAGCTGTGGAGACAGACAGACCTGCTGCCGCTCAGCTGCTGTATGGCCTGGACTTGTCACGTCAGTGGGCCCAGCCTCAGTGGGTGCTGCCCATTATAGAGCGGCCACCTGCACACCACGTGGTGACACGATGTGCTCTCTAGCGCTGAGCACCGCGCTGGCCCACTCGAAGCACTCGGCAAACAGTAACCATTAGGGTGCTCTCAGGTCTCTCGTCATTCAGCCTGATTTCATCACCCTCGATTCTGCTGCCCATTTATACAGTCAGCATAAAGGGAAAAAGAGGAGGATGACTAACTCAACCACTCCAGCTCTTTATTGTAAGCTAAGAGCTTATTTAACGTTGCCACTTGCAATAGTTAAGAATCAACATACTCTAGCCCAGGGGTGGGCAAAGTTTTTGACTCGAGGGCCGCAATAGGTTCTTAAACTGACCGGAGAGCCGGAACAAAAGCATGGACGGAGTGTTTGTGTGAACTAATATAAATTCAAAGTAAGCATCATTACATAAAAGGGTACGGTCTTTTTTTTTTTTAGTTTTATTCATTTCAAACGGGCCGTAGTTTGCCCACGGCTGCTCTAGCCTACAAGGTCATGCCAGTGTTGAAGTGTAAGAAACGCGAGCCTGAGTTCAGGCAGACAAACATAAGTATATGCTCATGTAGAACTTACATCACATGGATTCCAACAATAATGACCTACTTTCACTTCTTACCCCCGCAAGGCCAGCGGGGGTCTGCTTCCTTCCCATACCCACTTTGCGACACAGCAGCCCCATGCCTTTCTTCTCACCAATTCAACACAAGTTTGTTTGGCCACGGTGTCTTCTCTGTGCTGGCCCCGGGGGCATCGAGACACATAGGAGGTGGCTCTGCCTTCAAGAGCATACAGTCTGGTAGGGGAGACAGACACCCATGAGCCTCGATTTCCACCAGGTCCCATCGCTGGGGAAGGTTTACACACAGATTCTTGTTCTCAGTGTGAGGGTTCTCAGGGGGATCCTTTAGGCTTGGCTCCTGCCAGCAGGCAGAAGGCTCATTGGTGTGTCTATCCAGGTGACTACGCCCTCCCTGGCCTTCCCTTCCTCCGGTGGAATGGATTCACCTCCTCTTCCCTCACTGGGCTTTCCCATTTCAGGGGTACCTCTGCCCTCATCTCCCTTCAACAACAAAGAAAGGAAAGCTTGGGGAAAACCCATTTTAGTGAACACAGATTCACTCCTGCTAACAAGCTACATGGTCTCCACCCTGAAGACCGGTCCTGAAGGCGAATCTGTGTGCGTTATATAAGACCGGTGATGAGAAGGACAAGGACCAACAGGGATACTAAAGAAGGTGAGCTCCCATCGCCTCCCCAGCCTGGTCAGGTTTAAGCCCTCCAACCCTCGGACGTGCAATACAGAGAGCTGGATACAGGGGTTCTCAAGTCAAGGCACACAGGTGACCCGGAGGCAAGGACGAGCCACAGGACTGGAGGACTAGAGAAGGCTGGGTGGAAGCAGAATCATCAGCCCCGGGAACTGTGGGACCCTCGGCCCCAAAGTCTCAGATCCAGGTTCCGGACCTTCTACTGGATGCAGATGAGAGAGAGAAGAGAAAAAGTGTGGAGATGAGCACACATTTGATTTTAACACGGATTATAGCTATAAAGACTTGACCACATAAGGAAACGGAACAATTGGCATGGTTATGTCAACATAAGTTTAATCATAGTCATTTACGCCAAGTGCCTTACCATTTGTATCTAATGGTCACATTATAACATAACAATGATGCACTTTAATCAACGTGGTCCAGAGTGGTCCTGAGTCTTATTGGATTAGGTGAGTAAATGATGTATCCGGTGCCAGCATTTGCTATTTCTTCCTCAAGTAACACGGTCTTCTGTTCTCAACTTTAACAGATGATTGATGCCATTGTTTTTAAACTATTTAGATAGAATGCAGTTTGAGGTGGGAGTCATTATTCAGTACTTTCCCTGATAAGATTTTGTTATCTGAAAATTTGCTATACAGTTTTCCTGTTCCCTGTGCTTGGAATTTGTGGGGGTTTTCAGGGGTTTTTTTTTGGTTTTATTTTACTCTGGTGCTTCACATTGATGAAATGGTAAAAGCTGTAAGGTGTACCTGTGTTCCCTTACACACACACATATGTACATAGACACCTTAGTAATTACTCTGATTAGATCCTAAAATTAATAAATTATAGTTGCCCTTCCAGGTCAGTTAAGAGCTCAAGTAACAAATTCCCCAGATTACCAGCATACAGAACGCTGAGCCTGGTCTCATCCCCAAGGCCTGCAACCGGGCGGGAGCCAGTGTTGGAAAACCCAGGCAAAGTGCAGCCGTTCTCAAAGGAAAGTGAAATTTTTAAATCCTGTTCCAAGCTCTGCTGCTATTACTTGGAGCAGTCAGATTCCCTACCCAAAAGGTTTTCCTTTCATCTGTTTTGGTAAATGAAAGAGGAATACTTAGTGCATAAAATGGGAGTTCGCTGAGTGAAAGGTAGTATCATAAATAAGAAATGCTTTTTTTATATATAATTACAGGAAAACAGACGGATAACTGTTTAAAATCATTAGGCAGTATTAAAGTAGCATATGTTCTCAAATGTCTTTGATATACAAATTGGTTAACAGCAGGGTGGGAAACTAATAGCAAGGATCGGTTGGTAGTCCTTTTAAAATTTGGTCACCTCGTAAAATCAGGTAGGCAAGTGGCTTCAACAAAGTTACTACTTCAGGTGAAAAGAACACTCCGAACATACGGCAGAGTCCTGTAAGGTCATTTCACACATACACCAGGGTGTGTTTGTGAGTCTGTAGGAAAAGACTTCCCAAGCATGAAAACTAGTTATGTACAAGAGCTCTACATTTTGTTATCATTTAAATAAAACATGTCTTTAAATATAGGATTCTTTGGAAAACTCACTTCACTGTCCAAAGTTATAGAGACCATTTTAGTTTTTTTAACCGGACATAGAATATTCATTACAGCTTCTCAAGAGACTGCTTAGTTGGACTGGACGAGAAGTTCATTTGCAGAATGTTCTTAATAAAACCATCCAGTGACCAAGTCCCATCAACAAACTATATCCAAAGGCAAACCCTGCTCGGGATGGACCCAGAAAGAGCATCAGCCCTTGCTGTTGGCTCTCCCTGTCCCCATTAGTCTTTGAGGTGGGTGAGTAAATGGGCGTTGGGCGAAGTCTCTCGGAGGTTAGAAGATCTTGCACTCGTTAATGGAGAAGAGCTTCCTCCGGTTGCGTCTCCGAGCTTGGTTGACGGCAGTTCGGACGGCACACTCAAACACCTGCTGCACGCCCCGGTTGCTAAGGGCTGAGCACTCCAGATAGCCCTTTGCTCTCACATCCTGGGCCAGTCTCTTCCCATCGATGGCACTGATGCAGGAGGCCCTGTGGGTCCCCATCTCCCGCTGGTCAGTCTGTGTGGCCACCACCAGCACGGGGGTACAGGGCAAGTTGCTCCTGATTTCGCCAATCCACTTGTTCTTCAGGTTCAGGAAAGAGTTATGGTTGGCCACAGAGTAGCACATCAGCACCACATCGGCCTGCTGGTAGGACAGGGGACGGATGCTTTTGAAGGCGTCATTGCCGGCTGTGTCCCACAGACCCAGGCTGATCTGCATGCCATCCATGAAGACATCCACGCCCGTGTTCTCATACACCGTGGGCTTGTAGGCCTCTGGGAAGGTCTCTGAGGTGAAGCGCACCAACAGGGAGGTCTTCCCCACGGCAGAGTCTCCCACCAGCACACACTTGATGGAACTCAGCATCTTCCCGGCCTGGATCCCTCGTTACACGTTCAGAATCCTTGAATGGCTGAAGCAAATGCCATTCAACACAGGGAATAGAAACCAGATGGGTTTGTGGTCCCGGGGTCTCCAACAGCAATTTGCAGAATGTTACTTCTCTCCATGCATCCTAGAGAGACCTCGATCTACTTCGAAAAGCTCCAAAGTCTGGCCTTCAGCTGGAACAGAAAGAGAAGAGGGAAAATTGAGTCTTTCTTTTTCCTTTTTGGATGACTGGGCACTTCCTCACTGGCACGCTGATTAAACATGGGGCCCACCTCAGTGTCGCCGCCCTACCCGACTAGTCTAACCCACACTTCCCCAGCAAAGAGGGCTTGGATCTGCTATCCCCCAGCTCAGGCACCCACAACTCCACCCAGCCAAGAAGCAGAAGCTGATTTTTATCTCGCAAACCAGCCTAGTGATAAAAACACAAGCAGCTGCTCTGATCATAACATGAAAAAGACCTCGATAGCAACCTGGTGTGTGAATGAGACGTTTTCAAACTGCTCTCTCTCTCTGCTTCCGCTCCAAGAAGCAGGGGAGGCAGCTGACAGCGCTCTCTCGCTTCAGTTTCTAATGGATCCCAGCCATTTTGGGAACTGCAAGGGAGAGGCCTGTCATGAGCCACCGGTATGACCAGCACTTCCTTTCATTTACTGATTAATCAGCCAGTCCTTGGCTTATGTGGGAATTTGTGTTGAGATTAGAGAAAAGAAATTACCAGAACTCTAAAAATTTGCTGGGTTTTGTTTGTTTTTTTTTCCTTCAAAAGGTGGCTACTGATCTAATGGAAAGGGCAGTGTCCTTGCGCTTCTGCACCTGAGCTCAGGCCCCATCACTTACGCAGCAACATGGCTTTGAAAAGGCGCTACTTGGTCTCCAAGCCTCACTTGGCACATCTACAAGATTCTGGTAAATTTAGGAACTGCTCTTCAGAGATGTGAGGGTTAAATTATTTATGTCTTTCAATGTGGTGTATTTTTGTTTTTGGTTTTTTTTGTGGGTTTTTTGTGTGTGTGTGTGTGTTTTAAACTTTATTGTTGAAAGTATTACACAGGTGCTCCTTTCCCCCCCCATTAACCTCTTCCAGCCCACTCCCGCCCCCACCCCAACCCAAGGCCCTCGCCACCCCATTGTCTGTGTCCACAGGTTATGCACATATGCATACAAGTTTATCGCTTTCAACATTTTTAGATAGCTGCCTATATATCCGAACTCTGATAGGCCCCTGGTTAAACAAAATAACTTGCTTAAAAGTAACCACATTCAGTGCCTGTCCCTTCAACAGGACTGCATAAATAGGACAGAATCCGAATTTCATGAAAAGATCAAATAAATTCTCATCCACTGCAGGTGAGCGAGTTCCCGGCGCTGAGACCAGCTGTGGAGACGGTGCCCTATTTGCCAGGGGACAGCATCACAAGGCCAGCCCTGCTTCAGACAAAGGAAAGGCCTTTCAGATGCAAACCCAGAGCACAGCGCGTTAATACAACCGGGCTTATAAGCTCCCTACTGGGGATCTTCCTGACATGCCGCACGCAAAGCAATGTGAAGCCGGCCGAGAGGGCCGCTTCGGCTTTTAAAGGTCACTCCTCTAAATCCTGCCGTTCACGTCCAAGACGTTCTGATCCTTGCCAACCCACAGTCTCTGTTGGTTTAATGAGATAGAATAGTCCTTTGCAAATGAGCCAATCAAATAAATAACTCATGATTTTCATGTTTTCGCTTTTTTTAACCACACAAAAGCTGGGTTACTAAGTTACTTAAGTAACTTAGCCAAGTTACTTAACCTCTCCGAGTCTTGTTTTTTGGTTTTGTTTTTTTCATAGAAAATGAGAACAAGAAAAGCGCCTTTTTCCTATAACTAGTGTAAGAATTCAGCATGTGGCGAGTCTGGCTCAGCACAGAACCTGGCATATGGGATCTATGGAGAACCATCGTGTTACCAACTTCCACTACTATTTATTGAAAATACCAAACATTGAATGTCCATAGCACAGGGGGCAGAGGGCCAGAGGTTCCGCCGATTTTGTCCTAAGACTCATAGTGGGTCACTGTCATGCAGGATGGTCCTGGGCATCTAGCACAGAAAGCCACTCTACCAACACAGGGAAGCATAAAAAATGCGGAGACAAAGAAACAGGTCACAAATGAGAGAAATGGAGGAAAGCAAACGACTGGATAGAGAGTTCAAAACCATGGTTATAAGGTTTTTCAAGAACGTTCTAGAAACCGCCAATAAATTTAGTAAGACCCTCAAAAAGACTGGTGAAACCGCCAATAAATGTAGTGAGACCCTCAAGAAATCTAATGAGACCCTCGATGTTGTGATAAAGAACGAACTAGAAATTAAACATACACTGACTGAAATAAAGTATATTATACAGACTTCCAACAGC